CGCGGGGGGGTGCTGGGGGCCTGGGCGGGCTGAGAGGAAATACAGGGGTGCTGTGGGGCTGGGAGGCAGTGGAGGTGTGCTGTGGGCCTGGGCGGGCTGAGAGGAAATACAGGGGTGCTGTGGGGCTGGGAGGCAGTGGAGGTGTGTGCTGTGGGCCTGGAGAGGCTGAGGGTGTTGTGGGGCAGGAGGTGCTGTAGGCCTGGCAGGCAGCGGGTGGCGTGCTGTCGCCCTGGGGGTGCTATGGGGTTGGGAGGCAATGCGGGGGATGCTGTGGGCCTGGAGGGGCCGGGGTGCGCAGGGCAGGGTATCCCGGGTGTTACGGGTCTGGATGCAGTGGGGCTGAGGGCTTTTTGCTGCTGGTATGGGCAGCCTTTGCGTGATGGGGCTGGGTGCCAGAGGGTGTCTTGGCGCCGCGGGGCTGGGTGCTACTGAACTGGGGGAGCTGGGCATTGTGGAGGAGGGTGCCATGGAACTGGGGCTGGGCAGCTGGACCCAGCAGGAGCAGGGCCCTGCCAGTTCCCTGGGGTAGGGCCAAATCTAAGGTTCCCCCCCCCGGGGCTCTGATGTTGCCTGTGGTCTTGGCTGTGCTGGTGGTTGCTGTCCCACCCCTGTGGGCCCAACGCCCCACTGGGATGTGGGGAGGGCCGCGGGCAGGGTGAGGGCTGGAGCCCCAGTGCCTGACTGGGCCAGGGAGGGTGCATGGCTCTGCTGGAGCCTCATCCCTGTGGCTGTGCCACTGTCTGCAGGCAGGTGCCTGGGGACAGAGGGAGGTCCTGCCCTGGGGCAGGCTGGCTGCCTCCCCTGTGGGCTGCCCGCTCAGCAGCTGCCGGCTGTTGTAGGCGAGGAAACCTCTCTGAGGGGCAGGGAGGTGCTGTGTGTTTGGCGGGGAGGGCTGACCCCAAGACCTGCTGCTGGCTGCAGCGTTTTGTCTCTTACCACACTGAAAACACAGGGACAGGTGCCACCCAAAGGCTGCACAGCAGGAAGTTGTTGCTCCACTTCACACCTGATGTGTTTCAGAGGAAAGCTCTTGGCAGAGTGGGAAGGGGAAATGTGGGGGAAGGGGGTGGCGCTGGGGTTTGCATGTCCCACCTCTCCCTTACAAGGGTACAGGAAACCTGGGCGGGAGCCACGCCTGTGACCTGGGGTGGGCTGGTGGGTCTGGTGTCCTCGTGTCCAGCTGCTCCCAGCCTTGGGGTCAGCCTCACGCGTGTCTGGCAGGGCAGAGGGGAGCCCCTGGCTCCTTTGGACAGCCCATCTGGATGCTGCAGCTCCTGCCCTTACCCTCCCTGCTGCTCCCTGAGGGCTGTGCAGCGGGCACGGCAGCAGAGGGAGTCGGTCCTGGCTGGACAGGCTCTGCAGCGTGGCACTGTCATCTGGCACCGTGCCGAGGCGAGCGCTTGGCCCAGGCTCAGAACGTGCCTTGGCAGGACCCCGGGGCAGCCTCGCTGCTTAATATTGATGGGCCCTGCCTGCATGGAGGCCTGGGGGCCCCAACCCTGCAGATCATTTTCACGGCTGCTGGGCCGGCTCGGGTTCCTCCTCGCTCCCAGCACGGCTCTCGGGTGGGATGAGGGGCTCAGCGGGCAGGGGAGCACTTCACAGCGTTGCCTCAGCCTGGGGCTGCTCCTTTGCCGGCACGTGGTGTTGTCCAAGGTGGATCCAGGCAAGGGAAAAGGGGAAAGCGTTGGGACTCTTGGAGTGGGGCTGTGATGTTGGGAAAGGTGCAGGTTGGCCTCTGCAGTTTGGTCCAGAGGTTGAGGTGAAGGGAAGTAGCATCCAGGCCCTGCTTTTTGGGGGTGAGGAGAGGGACTAGGGTAGGAGGCGTAATCCTGGCCTGGCTCCTCCGCATGCATCTTGTGCGGGCTCCCCCGTTCCCAAACCTGTTGGGAAGGGCTGGACCTGGGATCGTCCCTGGAACTGGCCCAGCATCCTGCATGCTCGTGCCTTCTCTGGTTTCCTCTGAGTCAGACTCTTCGTGTCGCTCCCCCGGCCCCCTCCCTGCCAGGAAAGACGAGATGGAATCAGAGAGCATCTGAGCCCAGATGCCGAGGGGCCTGTGCCCCCTGCTCCACGCAGAGAGCTGTCCCAGCGACAGCGGTCCTGCAGCCTCCAGGAGTCTGGGCTCAGCTCCCCCTGCTCTGCATCCTTGTGCAGGGTGAAGGAGAGGCCCCTGCCCTGCTGTGCAGGCAGGCGTCCGGCAGAGTCAGCGCCGGGAGCTGCACGACCGGCGCGTCCGGGAGGGGAGACCCTTCCTGAGGGACAGCCAGGCAGCAGGGTGGCCTGCCCACGCCGAGCTCCTCTCCCCCCAGGCGTGGCGTGGCAGGGATGAGGAGCTGGCAGCGGATGTTTGTGGCGGTGATGCGCCTGCTCCTCAAGTGCCTGCGGCTGGGCCAGCGGCGGCGGTTTAAGCTGCTGCGGCAGGTGGAGCAGCTGTGGCACTACGGGAACCTCTGCCTCCGCTCCCTGCTCTACAACTCCTTCACCAACAGCGACGTGGTGCTGGACTCCCTCTTTGAGCCCATCTACTGGCTGGTGGACCACGTCACCCGGTGGTTCGGCGTGGTGAGTACCCTTGGCGTGGCGAGTACCCTCACCGGGCGGGGGGGCACCTAGCTCTGGGGGCTGGGGTGAGTGTCCTGATGGGGCAACTGAGTCTCAGGGCTGCCTGTGCTCTAGGCGTGAAGAGAGTGGGGACCTCAGCGTGTGGTTCAGATTGGTTTCCTGTGGCCATATCCTGCCTGTGCCTCTCCCCAGGCAGCGAGGGGCAGGCGCTGCCCACTCCGGTGACCCAGGCCCCTTTCCCTTAGGTGTTTGTGGCACTGGTGATCGGGTTGACGAGCTCCATCGTGGCCATCGTGTACATCTGCCTGCTGCCCCTCATCCTGCAGACCTACACGCCTGCCTGGATCTGCTGGCACCTCGCCTACGGACACTGGAACCTCATCATGATTGTCTTCCACTACTACATGGCCATCACCACCTCGCCCGGGCACCCACCGCAGGTGAGGCACCGACCAGCAGCGCAGCCTCTCCCAGCTGGGCACAGCTAAACCAGCCTGGTGGCGTCGTTGCAGGAGGCCTCCTCCAGATCGGGGCAGCTAGGCTGGGCAGTGCGGGGAGGGGAGGCGGGCAGGTCAGAGGGGAGGTGAGGAGCAGGGGACGGGTGCAGGGCTTGGGTGCACAAATCTCTTCTGACCTGTGCGCAGGCCAAGGACGATCTCAGTGGCGTCTCCATCTGCAGGAAATGCATTGCCCCCAAGCCGGCTCGCACCCACCACTGCAGCATCTGCAACAGGTAGGGCTCCCTCCCTCTGCCCACCACAGCACTCGGGGCAGCCTCCGGGACCCCTTTCCTTGCCCCCTGCCACACTGCAAGACCGGGGCCCCTTCCCCTCTGCTCTGCTGGCTTCTTGCCTCGTCTCTAGCACAGCATGCAGGGCTGGGGGGGCTGCCTGCCCCCTCCCAAACGCGGTGCTCGCACTGGCACTGACACTGGCGCTGCTCTCCTCCCTCCCAGGTGCGTGCTGAAGATGGACCACCACTGCCGTATCCTTCTGCAGTACTAACCCACGGCACCCTCCCGGGGGCAGCCGGCCCTGCTTCCCTGTTCTCTCCCTGCCCCGCTCCTCCCAAGTCAGCCAGCACGGGGAAGGGTGCTGAGGGCCGGGCCCAGAAGAACAGCCCTGGTCCCTGGGGTGGGTTTGGACCCATGGCCCGTCACGGTTACACACCTTTAACCCCAGAGGCAGCCTGGCTAAACAACTGCGTGGGACACTACAACCACCGCTACTTCTTCTCCTTCTGCCTGTTCATGACCATGGGCTGCATCTACTGCAGCGTCAGCGGCTGGGAGATGTTCCGGGATGCCTACGCAGCCATTGAGGTGAGCAGGCAGGCCCTGGCCCTGGCCCTGGCCCTGGTGTGCACTGAGGCTGCCTGGGCTCCCCCAGGCTGAGCTTGCAGAACAAGGCTGGGCCAGGCCTGGCCTTGTAGTGACTTTGCTTCCCCTCTTCCTCCTCCTGTGAGGCCCCCAGCTGCCCCAGTCCTGCG